TATATAAATCAGAAAATGGAACATGGTGTCACTAGATATAATTCTGATGAGGAGGGGAGCTTTCAGTTATATTTAATGGCTCTGGTTAATGGTTTCATTACGCATGCCTGACGAATCTTGGTTAGTACATCTTGTACTGATGGGGGAAACTCTTTGCTCTCTGTGCACTGGTGCATTTATATCGTTGGTTATTATTCTGGGATCACTAGCTTCAATTGTGTGAAGATCATTGTCAAGGGAGCCTCTTAAAGGGATACTAGTTTAATTTAGTATTCCAGTGCTGTAAAGTAGGAGGACTCACAAGCAATAGTAAAAGTAAGAAACCAAAGCAGCAGAAGTCAAGATAGCCTCACTTTTAGTTCTGTTTGAACGGAGCATTAGGCTTAAAAATTCTGGATCTCAGAATTTCTTGATGCATTAAAACAAAATATTCAACAGACACGTGGGGGCATTGATAGCTGATGAGTTGGCCTATGTACAAAATGGAAACATGCACATTCAGTTTTCAGGTTAACGCATTTGTAACCACAAATTACATTTTTAATGTGTGTATGTGAGAGAGAGGTACTTATATGTATTTGAGAGTTAGAATTTTTGAAGAGCCTAGATAGCTCATCTGGTAGAGCTGGCGCACCATGTATCAGGCTGAGTCCTTGCTACAGCGGCCCAGGGTTTCGAATTCGACCGGCAGCCTTTTGCTGCGTGTCATCACCTCTCTCTGCTCCTTCTTGTCAATATTGAGTAAAGGCAATAAAAGCCCATATATATTATGGATTGCCATTTAGGTATTATATTATATATAATATGAAATTAGAATACTGTATATGGAATAAAATTCAGAATGTATGGAATGAAGTTTGAATATATGGAATGAAATGATGACGTGATCAAGGCACTGCACCATCTGTGTTTTCGATACCAGCCTAATATTATTCCATAAGGATGTTACTGCAAAAAGTGTGGGAGTAAGCCTGAATGGAATCTCTAAGAAGCAGTCCTAACTGATGAAATAAGATGAGATAATTAACACAAATGTTCAAACACAATGCATAGGAAGCAGCAAAAGGTTTAATGTGGTTAAAGCAGGAAAGTTATCCTTATCCTTATCCTAATAAAGCTTATCATAGCCTTATCCAACTTTCATTTTGGCAGGTTGCGCTGCTTAACATACATGGACCAAATTAGAAGGTGTGCATGGAAACGCCCATACTGTCTGTGCGCCTATAAGACCACCTTGCTTACATTAAGAGTGCAAATTATGACTCTTCCGGTATGAGACGCACAGGGTAGACGCGCGCTCAATTTGCTCTCACTAACATATTTTTAATTACCTTTTTAAACCTCAAATTTTTCTGTATTTTTTTCTGAAACTGTTTACAACAGGTTTATAGTGCTGTACTGACTACTTAGCAATGTCCAAGTCTAAAGGAAGAACCGCTGAAAAGGACAAGGAAACTTAGCTGGCTGCTAACATAACTTTGTCCGAGACCACAAACAGCGGGTTAGCTCTCTGGAGGTTAACGCCACCGAGGTTGACCAGCGGCTTCAACAACTTGAGACTGCTTGCGCTGCTTTGCAGGGAGACAACACGGCACTCACAGTCAAAGTGGCGGATCTGGAGGGGCACAGCAGGCGCCAAAACATCCGCATCATCGGCCTGCCTGAATCGATCGAGGGCCCTCGTCCATCGGCTTTTTTCTCCCAGTTCCTCGTTGATGTCCTCGGCATGGAGACCCTCACTTCATCTCCTGAGCTGGACCGGGCGCACCGGAGCCTCGCACCCAAACCTGCGCCAGGAGGCAGACCGCGGCCCGTCATCCTGCGCAAATTAAAGACTTGGTGATCCGCGAGGCTCGCAGACGACGTGATCTGACCTACAAAGGCCATAAGGTCCACTTCTATGATGACTACAGTCTTACTATAGAGATAGAGCCTGAGGTCTGGCAGTGCGCTCTGAAATGGGTCCATGCATCATCTATTTGCGCCCGGCATGGGGTTTTGCAGTGCAAAGTAATTCATAGAGTCCACTGGTCTAAAAGCAAACTAGCTCGCATTTATCCAGGCACTGATCCAAATTGCGATAAGTGTCACTTAGGACCAGTTAACCTCAGTCACATGTTTTGGACCTGTCCCACTCTCTCTCGGTTCTGGAATTCTGTATTTGACTCACTCTCGGCCATCACATCTACCAAGTCCTCCAATCACCCTTAGTAGGCCTGTTTGGTGTCCTGCCCACTACCAACCCACTGCCATCCTACTTCACTGAACTGGTGGCTTTTCTCACATTATTAGCGAGGCATGTCATTCTGATGCACTGGAAGAGCCCCCCTCCCCCCTCCCACACCCATTGGATAAGGGATGCCTTATTCTTTATGAAATTAGAGAAAATCAAACACTCCCTCCGTGGAAAATTTTTGAAAGATTTGGCAACCCTTTCAAGAGCATGTCCAGTCCCTGCGGCTGGATGCTCCCCCCACTGGCTAAACAGCCCCCTGAACTGCACCTTCTTGTTGCTCCTGGCTGGCTTACGTTCTCTCCCTGTACTAGCAGCACAGTATGTCTCGTATGTTAGTGTCTTTTAAGTGTCTTGCTTTCTGTTTTTTTTGTCTTGTTTTATTTTGTGTGTTCCAAATTATTATGCATAT